TAGAAAGCCGGCTCTTCGTGTATGCATACGAGCGGCGGCAACGGCGGCGGACTAGTTAAAAATTCGATCGATAGACCGCCTCTGACCCAACTACCGTATGCTGAATAATTAAGCCCGCGATAGAGGCCCTTCTCTGACGGCATTCTAAGAACGCTAGAAGGAGGTAACGCTGTCGTGACAGCGAGCCGCTTTTCGTGCTTCCCCGAGTCGGGACGCGAAGCGAATTTCCAGAGGCGGGTTTGCGTTAACCGGAAGCTTTTACCACGCAGCAATTCGCGAATCGTCACAAATTGCGCATACATATATGTGTCGTGTGAAAAAAATATGTAATATTTATTTATGTATAAATTATAGATTTTCTTAATTAATTAATCATATATCTACCGCGAAAATCGTGGATTTCACACGGAGAAAATTAATTTGCTCGGCACAACAAGATCTGCCGGTTACTGTGAGGACCGAAAAACGACTTGTTAAAAGTACTAATTGCCATTCGTTGAATTATTTTGCTGTGAGGACAAATTAGTAAATGTAGGAAAACACCGTTTCGTTCTAACGGGAAATTAATGTGTCCTAAGGACAAATTCACTCGGCAGAATATCTCGTATTCTGCCAACAAAACTGTTTTCGCTCTAATTACAAATAATTCGCTGATCTGATTACGCTGGCCAAATTTGATTACTGTAACAACGAGTATGCAGCATCAACGATGTGGTTCCGCTAAATTCTTTTCATACAGCAAAATTACTTTTCTCCAGTGCGAACCGTTAAATATATCGGCGTCTGATCGGACGAAAGGAAGCGCTATTGATCTTTGACGAAAATGTTAAAACTGCGACTGTGTAATTGCGAGTATATATTATTTTGACGAGACATTTTTGTGAAATACTCCACGGTATATAAGTGAAACGCAAGCGCTCCTGCGTTCGAGACCTTCTTTCTGTTATGCTGTTTTATTCAAATCGCACTTCCTGATATTCCTCCGCTCCTCCGTATAAGAAGGAAATTCACCCGGGAACGTTTCACTTGCTCATCGTGTACCGCTTTTAGGCTGAATATCCTTCCGAAAGAGATACAACCTACTTCTCTGTATTTCCATCCGAGCCTGATAACAGCACAACGACATACCTCTCCTCTTTACTCGTAAAGCTCTTTGTATGTAGCGTATTCTAAACGTACGGAGGTTGAGAGAGAGAGAGAGAGAGAGAGAGAAAGTGAAATTTTCAGGACCGCGCGAACGAGAGGATGTATGTATGTATATATGTATACGAGGTGTATTCCTTCGGCTTTTTGGTCTTTTCTCGTCGTTGACGCACATTGCCCACTCCCCGAAATCGTGGCGCATAATCCGCGCACTTGCGGATTGCAAGAGAGCTGAATCAGATCCAAGTCGTTCTTAGATATTCCTTTTGCTGTCACGTGAGACTCAGTAGTCGGGAGGGGAAAAACGGATACTCGGAATAAGCCGACTAAGCTACAAGCAAATTGATAAGATCAAAAACGTAGATGATAAAAATTCGATCGATCTCGTGACGCAAAATACAAGTGGACTTACTTCGCAAAATCGCAGAATTTCTCAATTTGTTAACGTTACTTCCGTCATTTGAAATCATTTGTAACGGCGCTCGTGATTTCACTTGAAGTTATTTTTCATAGCGAGAATTATTATTATATATCGTCTCCGCGCTGAAGCGAAGTTACAAGGACACCGTTCGATTCGCCTCGAAAGGATACACCTGCGCATCATGACCGGACAGAACAATATGATAGGACCGCAACCGAGAGACTCGCATATCAAGTAGCAAGAGGCGCATGGAAGGCGCGAGGCCCGAAAACGGCGAGAAAGAAAGGGATTTGGCCTAATCTATGTCTCTATCGATGTGTTAACGTACCTACTACTATTACTATTACTACTACTACTGTTTATCCACGTCATTGCAGCGAAAGCGTGCACATCCGGCGAAAGAGAGGGGAGAATAAAAAAGAAAAACAAGAAAATGCGTTTACAAAATAAATCTGAAATCCGCATCCCCGAGAGGGATGTACGCGTACTTGACATCGCGCACACACTCGTCACTCTCACCCCACACCGGCACACGTACGCACACAACACGTACGCTCGACACGGCGTGCACATGAACACAACACGTACGCAAAATATACGGAACATTCGCGCCGGCGAAAACGCCCGCAAACTCCGACGAGCGTGAGCGCGACGACGACGCGCGCGTAAAAAACTTTTCGCCATCCTCTGTCGTCGTGAAGAAAAAAAAAACCTTCCTAACGTTATTATGAGATAAGATGAACTTGCGCGCGTACCATGTGACATCCGCTAATTACTATCGTTGTTATTTATTGTCGGCATTACCGTGAGTAACGATTACCGATGTGTAATTATTGTCTCTGGATTAGCGCTGGTTGACGCACTCTGATTGTGTAAGATGCGACGCGGGACCGTACAACGGTCCACTTTATATTTCTACATTAATACATACTTATAAAAAAAAACATATATATATATATATATATACATATACATATATATATATATACTTAGTGAGAGACGGAAGTTTTCCATCCCGTTAATAAGAAAAAAAAGATATATAGTAAAGAAGAATAAACAAATAAATGAATAAATAAATAAATATATATATATACATATATATATATATATTTATATATATACATATATATATATATATATATATTGATAAACCTGAAAAATGGAGAAAATAAAAAGTACGACATAAAAATATATATATCTATATACATGTGTATAATAGTCTATAATTTTTCATATTGTTGTACGAATTTTTAAGTTTATATTAAAATGTTTTGTGCATTCATAAAAAAAGAGAGTACCACAAATATTCGTGTCTCTGTGTGTGTGTGTGTGTGACTTCATTTCTCACCTACCTGTTTCTATTCCTGGTCCCGCGAAGACTTTATCGCCGCCCGATGCACCGTTATTTTTATGCAACGATCTCAATACGTTACCATCTTCGACGTGCCCTTCATAAATAACAAGAGCCGCAACGAGCCCGAAAAATATGCGCCGGGAAGCTCCTACAGATATACCTACGGTGTTCCTTCTTTGGTTCTAAAAGACTATATCTCGGAGAGTATAAATTCTCGAGTCGAAATTTCGGTTCTACATTAATCCCGTCCTCAAATATCGTCGAATTTGAACGATTAATCAAGGGTCGCCGCCGGTGTGAAGTTAGCACCTTGTTTCTCAGCACCGTGAGATTTCACGCAAGTTCTATTTACACCCGCAACAGTTCTGCAGTTCCCGATAAGTTGTGGCAAAAGTTCCGCCGAATCTCCGGCTAAAAATACGGCATTTCGAAAGTATGACGTGCCAACTTCCCGTGGCACTGCAACCTCCATAATAGTTATTTAAATTATTCCCGCAGTTTCAATCTTAAATTTCCCGAATTCTCAATTCCAGATATATTTTACTGAGAACTCCGACCTTTAACAATTTTTAAATAATTAAATATTTTTTAACTCAACAACATTTCTGCTGTAACTTACACGGTAAAAAAACCTTTTGTACTTGTGTTAAAATCGGTCCTTGTTAAGATTTTTATGTTAAATCGTCAGCATCTTACGGTGGCAAAAAATAATCCACCAATTCCATACGGGATCAAGATTTCCCCATTGATCCTTCAAATTTCAAGGGAACTTTCTCATAGGCTAACACAGAACCAAAATTCCGACCCGGCAATCCTTTCTTTCGCTCGCAAGAGGATCGGTAGAAAGACAAACGCGGCTTATTGTTTAAAAATATATAACAATGCATCATAGCTTTTATTAGATCACTCGCATATGACAAAGTACAATAATAGTGTCTGTCAACGCAACGGAAATAATGCCAGATTTATAAACGAGTCCGCAATGGTTCTCCCCTTCGCTTTCAGAAGTCTGATCGAGATGAGGATGATGAGAGTACGATTAGTCTATATTGACAGTTCTTATATATGGGCAAACGTTTATTTTATCTTCAGAGTCCATATACTTCGTATTCTAATTATATATTCACGTATACATGCTTACAGATAAGTATATGCGAATAAAAATAATCATTCCGAATAATACAGGTGATATAAGTTTTGATTGTAAAGATATATCATGCCATCAAGTCTCATTGAAGTAATGCAACGTATATTTATACAATTTATTTATTTTTTCCAAATATGGGTATTCCATATTCATATGAAACTTTCCAAATTTTTATACATACATAGAACCTTCCAATATATATACACATATTGAAAAATTCCATGGAATTTTCGTGGAATATATATATATATATATATATATATATATATATATATATATTACGCTATATTTCCTTCATTATTGTAATATATATATAGAAGTTATCAATTACTTTCTGAATTTATATTATTCCATATTCTTCCCAGGATAAAATATGTTCGCATAATCTCATAAATATCAGTTACGTGATACGATTGAAATTCTTCTTGTTTATGGCGACGATCGTGTTTGTGTAAATGTCTGTGAAAATCGGCACAACGAGGATCGGTGTTCGTTTGTGTTCTTCTTCTTTCTTAATTTTCTTTACTTATATCACTACTATATTGCTACGTAAAACACTACAGCTTACACGTTGCAAACGCACATAACGCGAGTAAACGTATTTATAATGACAAAACTAGCGTAATATATCATTAATAGAGTAGCTAAGGACAGACGGAGAGAGATAGAGAGAGACAGAAAATGATGCATATGTGTAGAAGGAAGAAACGAGTGGAAAAACAGACGTGAAAAATTTGCTGTTAAAATCAGGCGAAACTAAAACGACCGATGATGCATCGAGGGGAAACTTAATAAATACTGTTATGCAAGCAAGAGTTACGAGATTTATTTCTGCAATATCATATATATATATATATATA